ACGGCGGTATTCTGACATGGCAGACATGGGGACATATAATGCAAACATTTCGGCAAACACAGATTCTCCTTACCTTTGTTGTGCGTGATGGTGGTGTCGATCGGTCCCATCCGCTTCTCCTCCTTTTCTTCCCCCAATCAGCACATCATTAACGAGGCGCGTCTCCGTGAATATCTGAAAAAGTACTAATCCATGGCAATAAAAGGCCGGCGAAGGTAGACCAAAAGAGGCCGTTTTTAGGTGTCAGAAAAACACCTGTCCAAATGCCAAAAAATCACGCTCACCTTGTCAATGTACGCGGAAAACTCGTCGACCACGTCACCATAGCGCTTCTCCTTGTACGAGTCCTCCCTCACGTACTGTTTCTCGCCGACTACAAAGAAAGCAAATATAGAATTGCAACGAACTTTACGAAAATTCACTAAAACCATTTAACAGTATCGACAAAGAGAAAACATAGAAGCCCTACATTTCTCAAAGATCGTCGTCCACGCCGGGATCGTCGCGCGTTTCCCGGGGAGTTTACGCTGCAAATGCAAAAATTCAGGCTTTTAAATCATTTATTACCTCCGAGCCGACGAGAATCGTATCCAAATGCACACGCAACGGATCCACGCTTCCGAGTCGATGGGCAAACGACGAGAAGTGCTTCCGGATGTCGCAGTCTAAACAAAAAGTCATAAAACGCTTGAAGCCAGCTTTCCATTTGTCGACCAGCTAACAGAGACTCTTTAGACATTCCACACCTGGGTGGCGTTCCAACTCTTCTTGGTCCGTGACCAGAATGAGATGCACGTTCCGCACATCGTCGCCGAACGAGGCTTGCCGGTTTGATAGCGTCGATTCGTTGGCACACCGAGAGTGGTTCAAGCCCTGAAAAAATAGCCTCAACGCGCCAAGGTCGAAAAGTGGCGTAAAAAGGAGCTGTAAAAACACGACCGAGAAAAGAACAAACTCCCACTCCGACCTAATCTAGAAAAACACGCAAAATTCGGCAAGGTCTACAGAATTTAATCATAAATGAACCCACCTTTGGAAATGGGTGCCGAGCCGTTGAGGGCCAACCTTAAGCCCTTGCTGTCCGTCCAGACGGGTGCCTCGCGCATCGGCAGATCGATCAACTAAAATATAAAATATCCAAAACACTCTAACGCCAAGATACCATCAACTTTGCCTCGGCGGGCAGCACGCAGGCGATGGTGCTGTAGAAGAAGCTCGTCTTCGAGGCCTGCAAGAAAGGACTTGATAGTCACTCCAAAAAAACCCACCTTGACATCGCCGGCCGATCGGTCAACGAGAAAGACGAGGGACACGGGCAATGGTGACTCCCACGAGTGATGTCCCTTGCAGCCAGGGCGCAACTCATCCTCCAGATGCTGCAAATGAGTATTTAATTTCTAATATAAGATTCTACTTGAACGAACAGAAAACAAAATCGTCTAGAAAAGCAGAAAAGACAGAATTTTTTTAGTTTTATTTAAATCTCGGCTTCCCTTTGTGCGACAGGCCTGTCTTGGTCTGATTAGTAAGAATATACTACATTTAAATGGCGCCAAAAATATGCAAGGAAAAAAATTAAGGTGGAAAACGCGAAATCTCGGTCCGGGGGGAGCGGGCGAGCCAGCGAAAAAATGGCGTTTACAAGTTAGCCCAATTCCAAGAAACATTATATTTGAAGAAAACTAAATCATATCAAATAAAACCAGATGGTTCCAGGCGCTTCGCGACGGTAACGATCTGGCCTTCGGGCTATCCGACATGTCCAGGGACGTAGCGTAATACAGGCCCCGGACCACGGACCGACCGGATACGTGGGAGAAATAAAAGAAATGAAATGGCTCCCGTGAAAATTTTCATTGACGAAACGCGCGCGACCTGGCTCACTATGTCCAAAATCACCCCAACCTCCGTCCCCGGGGTACCCCTTTTACTAAGGAAAAAATTTCAAAGTTAATTTTAATAATTTATACAACTTTTTCATAATTTTTTTATCAGTTCGGGGATTTCCGCCCACGCTCTATCCGAATCTGAAGAGACCTGAGCTCTAGCTCCTTTCCCCTTCGAGATGAATTCGGCTTCGGAGGGACAGACGGAGACCACAGCAAAATTATTATAGTTGATAGTTCTATCCATTGCATACCGGCTTGGTATCGTCGGCGAGACACCCGGCGAAAAGCGCGAGCAGTAGCACCCCCGACTGGACGAGAAGCCGCATTTCAGCGAAATGATAACGCCCTTGGAAAAATCAAGAAGGAAAGAAAGCTGGATTGATCAGCGAGTATTCTAATTTTACATTGCAATCCTGCAACCATCTCGGCTCATCTGCGAGCTAAACGGCTGTAATGTGCGCCAAAATGTTGTGTTATGATTCGGGCTAAAATACCCTCCAGGTGTTGGAATTCGGGCTAAAATACCCTCGAGGGGCTATAATTCGGGTCAAAAATCCATTTCCGGTGCTATAATTCGGCTAAAATACCCTCTGGGTGCTGGAATTCGGGCTAAAATACCCTCGAGGGGCTATAATTCGGGTCAAAAATCCATTTCCGGTGCTATAATTCGGCTAAAATACCCTCCAGGTGCTATAATTCGGGCTAAAATACCTTCCAGGTGCTATAATTCGGGCTAAAATACCCTCGAGGGGCTATAATTCGGGTCAAAAATCCATTTCCGGTGCTATAATTCGGCTAAAATACCCTCCAGGTGCTATAATTAGGGCTAAAATACCCTCGAGGGGCTATAATTCGGGTCAAAAATCCATTTCCGGTGCTATAATTCGGCTAAAATACCCTCCAGGTGCTATAACCAGATGGTTCCAGTCGCTTCGCGACTGTAACCATCTGGCCTTCGGGCTACCCTTCATGCAATCCACTTTAAAAACTACTTCGATACCTCCCTGATGGCTTTAGACACCTTTCCTAGCCGAAATCCCTTCAAAAACTGGCTAAATTGCGTTATATGGTCACTAAACGGATTTTGGATTTTTATATACCAAAATGCTCAGCAGTTCGAACTGGTTCAGGATCAGTTGAAAAACTATTCCAGAAACACTTCTGGAGCGAGTTATAACGCTTCAAAGTTGGCGAGTGTCGTATATGGTCACTAAACGGATTTTCGATTTTTATATGTCAAAACCAGCCGCTTACAGCGGCTTTGCCGCTGCAAGCGGCTGGACTTCGGGCTATCCCCTGTGCGCTCCCTCCCCTTCGCCGAAACGCGCGCGACCTGGCCGACTACGTCCCCCACTCCTCTTACTAAGGAAAACTTTCGAAGTTAATTTTAATAATTTAAACTAAAACTTTTTTCGTAATTTTTTTATCAGTTTGGGGGTTTCTGACCACGCTCTATCCGAATCCGAAGAGAGCTAAGCGCTAGCTCCGTTCCCCTTCGAGTTGAATTCGGCTTCACACGGACGGACGGACAGACGGAGACCACAGCAAAATTATTATAGTTGATGCTCAGCAGGCCGAGCTGATTCTAGAACAGTTGAAAAAACCTTTGGGAAATACTTCTGGAGCGAGACATACCACTACAAAGTTTGGCGTCACCCCGGCCCACTACATAACTTGTCGCCCCGGCGAGTCAGTTTTCGGTGTTGCGAAAAATGGTTGGGTTCGAAATGGGATTGGCATGAAACTACACACCCGATCTGAGCCTCAAAATAAGGCTTCGTGCCACCCGGGGGCCGGTCAGCTTCGGATGGGTGCGAGCTCGTACAGGGTTTCGAAATGGGGGCGCCAAGGCCGGCGAAGCGGCCGGGGGCGCCCCCATTTCGAAAGAGTGGACGGCAGCCCATCCGAAGCGACGGCCCACCTTGCCTGACAACGTATTTTTTTACCCATGAAACGGCAATTCTCCACCATTCCGTTTCTTTCCGATATACAGTTGGCGTATTTTGGTGTACTACGTACTACTTCAGGGGCTGAATGGACGATTTGTAAGCTAGATATTTCGCGACAGAGATTTAGCCCAATAGTTTTTTCAACTGTTCTAGAATCAGTTCGCCCCGCTGAGCATTTTGACATATAAAAATCGAAAATCCGTTTCGTGACCATATACGACACTCGCCAACTTTGAAGTGTTATAACTCGCTCCAGAAGTGTTTCCCAATAGTTTTTTTAACTGATCCTGAACCAGCTCGAACTGCTGAGCATTTTGGTATATAAAAATGTAAAATCCGTTTAGTGATCATATAACGCAATTTTCCCCAAAAACTACCTAAATACCTTCCTGATGGCTTCAGATACCCCCATGGCCGAAATCCCTTCAAAACTACCTAAATACCTTCCTGAGGGCTTCAGATACCCCCATGGCCGAAATCCCCTTCAAAAACTACCTAAATACCTTCCTGATGGCTTCAGATACCCCCCATGGCCGAAATCCCCTTCAAAAACTATCTAAATACCTTCCTGATGGCTTCAGATACCCCCCATGGCTGAAATCCCCTTCAAAAACTACCTACATACCTTCCTGATGGCTTTAGATACCTCCCATAGCCGAAATCCCCTTAAAAAACGAAAATAACGACCGACCGGGTGAAATGAGAGAAAACTTTTTCAAAGGAAAACCTAAGGAACTTTCCTTTTACTAAGGAAAAAACTTTCAAAGTTAATTTTAATAATTTAAACTAAAACTTTTTCATAATTTTTTTATCAGTTTGGGGGTTTCTGACCACGCTCTATCCGAATTCGAAGAGACCTAAGCTCTAGCTCCTTTCCCCTTCGAGTTGAATTCGGCTTCAGACAGACGGACAGACGCGTCAAGAAAATTATTATAGTTGATTAGGGCTAAAATACCCTCGAGGGGCTATAATTCGGGTCAAAAATCCATTTCCGGCGCTATAATTCGGGCTAAAATACCTTCCGGGTGCTATAATTCGGGCTAAAATACCCTCGAGGGGCTATAATTCGGGTCAAAAATCCATTTCCGGCGCTATAATTCGGGCTAAAATACCTTCCAGGTGCTATAATTCGGGCTAAAATACCCTCGAGGGGCTATAATTCGGGTCAAAAATCCATTTCCGGTGCTATAATTCGGCTAAAATACCCTCCAGGTGCTATAATTCGGGCTAAAATACCCTCGAGGGGCTATAATTCGGGTCAAAAATCCATTTCCGGTGCTATAATTCGGCTAAAATACCCTCCAGGTGCTATAATTCGGGCTAAAATACCCTCGAGGGGCTATAATTCGGGTCAAAATCCTTTCCAGTGCTATAATTCGGCTAAAATACCCTCCAGGTGCTATAATTCGGGCTAAAATACCCTCCAGGGGCTATAATGCGGATCAAAAATCCATTTCCGGTGCTATAATTCGGCTAAAATACCCTCCAGGTGCTATAATTCGGGCTAAAATACCCTCGAGGGGCTATAATTCGGGTCAAAAATCCATTTCCGGCGCTATAATTCGGGCTAAAATACCTTACAGGTGCTATAATTCGGGCTAAAATACCCTCGAGGGGCTATAATTCGGGTCAAAAATCCATTTCCGGTGCTATAATTCGGCTAAAATACCCTCCAGGTGCTATAATTCGGGCTAAAATACCCTCGAGGGGCTATAATTCGGGTCAAAAATCCATTTCCGGCGCTATAATTCGGGCTAAAATACCTTCCAGGTGCTATAATTCGGGCTAAAATACCTCGAGGGCTGTAATCCGGGTCAAAAATCCATTCCCGGTGCTATAATTCGGCTAAAATACCCTCCAGGTGCATTTATAATTCGGGCTAAAATACCCTCGAGGGGCTATAATTCGGGTCAAAAATCCAGTTCCGGTGCTATAATTCGGCTAAAATACCTTCCAGGTGCTATAATGCGGGCTAAAATACCCTCGAGGGGCTATAATTCGGGTCAAAAATCCATTTCCGGTGCTATAATTCGGCTAAAATACCCTCCAGGTGCTATAATCCTACTATATATAAAAAAAATAGTGTCTGTGTGTCTGCCCGTGCCACTTGGTAGGCAACTTCCGTCAGCGTTTCCAGCAGTATCTCAATAAGGGGGGTAGTTAGGGGTATGTATTACATCTCATTAGGTGCATAATAGCCTTGGGCTGACTGCACACTAATCAAATTGTCAAAAATTTGCGATTTGCTTATAGCAAAACCCAAGTTTCGAGTGACAACCATAAACCAGTGTCCCCCTTGCCCTACTTTATGGTTGTCAAATTGAAAATTAAAACGTCGATTTTAATAATAAAAAGTGTCGACTGCCGCCTAATTTTCGATTCTAAACACATTTCGGAAGTTTATGTATACATGCCATCACTCAGAACCACTTTTTGGGCGACAACCATAAACCCTAATCAACCTATTGCGAGATTCTGATACCAAATCGTGGCGACCATGTGGGAAAACAATGATAAGAAGAATTCTCCCGGGTGGCAAAAGGCCTGAAGCTTTTGTGATCGAGAAAGAAGAGCAATGGCTCTTTTGAAATTTTGCGTACGGAAACAACCGAGATTAGAATGCGAATCTGATATAAAATTTGGCATTTAGGATATTGACCTGTTTATCTACTTATTTATTGTTATATATTTATCTGCCGGGCGGTCGTCTTTCTCTCAGCAAAATGTGGCGGAATTGGCTTGGAAAAAGCTCGGAGGCGTCTTCTGGATTGTACAAGAAAGTGAAGGGATGGGTGCGCCGCAAAGATACAGGTAATTCTGGCATACAAAGACACGTTGATCCGTTTTTAGACGACCCAGAAGCTGAGCCTGTTGCCGAGGAAGCGGCGCAAGAAGAACCACAAGCTACAGCACCCGCGGCAGCGCCAGCTACACCACCACCGCCTGCAGCGCCTAGTCCGGCCAGCTCCAAGTCGACGGCCACCAATTCGTCTAGAGCCAAGTAGACCCTCTTTTTTTGAGCTAAGTATTATTGGTTGAGTTTACAGCAGCAGCAGCAAAGCCTCGCCGTCCGCTCGCCAGCCTCATCGACGAAAAATCAGCCGAGTGCTGAAGATATTTCTGTCGGAAGCGTGAAAAAGTCGTCGAGAGAAAGACGATCAAGCAGAGAGCGAAAATCGTCAAGCTCTACTCGAAGCGTGTCCTCTTGGAGCAGTGAAGTGTCACGGGTCTGTCTTTCGGGTCCTATTTTCATTTTGTCGAAATATCATTTTATCGAAAGTTCAATGCCTTTTTGGCCACGATTATTCATCTCACCAATTTCGCAAATTGAAAACTGAGCGCATTCAAACTCCAACATAATGATATTTCAACAAAACGAAACTTCGCCCAGATAATTTTCGACAAATTTCTAGCAAATAGTCTTTGGGATTCGCTACTTTCTATCTAGGCAGCCCGCAAACTCGTCCGCTTGAAGCCCATCAAGGTGTCGGAGAAGAAGCTGGCAAAATGGGGCAAAATTGTGGAAGAGCGACTGAAGCGGCGGAAAGCCGCTGCTGAAGATCCGGCCACGAAACCGCTCTACACTATCGACACTCCATTTCCGGCTGCCGATAGGTGGGTACTGTAAGAAGTATTAATCGTCGCCCTTTTTTAGATCTAAAGTCGAGGAGGCTCTGGCCAAAAAAACGATCCCCAAGCCCACGCCGACGCCATCGTCGAGCAGAAAATCAGTGGAAAAGCCGAAGAAAGAGGAAAAAAAGGAAGAGAAGAAAAATAAGAAAAAGGAAGAGAAAGCGAGTAAAGAGAGCTCGAAGACGAAAAAAGGGAAGAAAGGCGAGAAGAGAGGCAATTTACTACCGAACGGAAAGACGCTTCTCCCGAGCGGACAACCCTTCTGGGTTGACCCCAATGCTGAGGATGTGAGCAATTTTCTATCTGCGGTTACTGCAATATTCAGGAGAAGCCGACCGACGATTCTCTGCCCCTGAACGCGGCCGTGATGCTCGATGTTCTGCGCGGCGAGGTCAAATTGAAGACGATGCCCGACGATCAGTAATATTGTGTTTGCGGCACCAAAGAATTTATTTTGCAGAGTGAAACTCGACCCGATGGCTGAAGTGAAAGATCTTCGACGGAAGCAGCCCTTCTTCGAATATGAGGTCGTCTACGGAAATACGGTCCGGTCGATGATCAACGCTTCGGGTAGACGATTTCCCATTTAGCGTCTATTTTTCGATTTAGAATCCGTGAATACGCGATCGACAGACCGCAGCGAGTACAGCCAGCTCGCTTCCAGGTGTTACTGACACTGGATCTTTATTATTACCTGATTTTTAAATATGAGTAGTGGAAGCGTTTCTAAACGGTTTTTACTATTCCCTAACCGTAAAAGGTACAATTTCAAGACCAAAAATGGTCGTTTTGACAGAAAATTCAATTTTTTAAAAGTTTCTGAAGTCTAGTTAATTTTTTTCTACAGTTATAGTTAACTAAAATCACTTTCTATTAAGTTACTAGATATCTCTAGATTCAAAGCTGAATCTGTAAACAACTGCTCTCCCCCGCCGATAATGCGAAAGAACCCTGCAGCTTGATCCTAACTTTTCGATTTTCGTGCCAGCGGGAGCCCGAGGATCGTTCGAGAGCGGACACCCTTGAAGATAACGGAACCGAGCCATTTGACCAGGTATCTATAACCACCTTTCATTTTCAATTCCTTTCAGTTACACGCCACAGTTGAAGCTGCTGAAACGCGAGAAATACCGCCGTACGTCAGCCCATGCCGAGACGAGCCATCGTCGAAGCTCCAAAAAATAGCGCCCAGTTAATCCTGCTTATTTGATTGTATCAACTTGAACTGTCCTTTGTTTTTGAACTTCTTCGGTTTTGTGGTGCGTCATTAATAAAAAGCTTCACTGGTGGATTTTGATTCCTCCTGGTCCGCGACTAGCAAGACTAGTACTTTTGAGAAGCATTGCGTCGTTCCGGGTACTTCTGAAGTTTAGACTTTCAACCAACGGTGATCCGCAGTGGTACTTTGGATTTTTATATTTATGCAGCGGTTAGTGATTGGACCTGATTTTCTCTCCGCTTACTGTTTATAGATTTTCGCGTTCGGGGGTCGATGTTCTGTGGATGGATCGGTGGGATGCTGTTTGTCCCACGGAAGAAGAAGGGTGAAGTGGCTAGCGTAGCCCAAATTCATGGTACCGCAGAAGCCGACTGTAGTTAGGTACGGGTTTTCGATTTTTTTTACTCTTGCCCTGAATTTTTTATTTAGGATTGAGTTTTTCTTTTTTAAGTAGGGGAAGGGTTTGAAAACTAGTTCATACAGTTAACTGTCAATTACTTTACCTAAGCCCAAGAAACCTTAGCGCAAAACCTATGAAAAATTCCGGAATATGAAGTTTTCTGCCAAGACTTTTCCACTTTCGCCAAACATACCAGATTTTTAAAGTTCTTAACATTTACTAAACGGTATTAGCGTTTCAGGTATAGCTAGCCACACTAAAATAATATTAAGGAACTGTCTATGACGTTAATACGTATTGTTTATTCATTCGGATGCGTGGACACTGTTGAATCACAAGTTTATCATGCAAACAAAAACTCTCCAAGATGTAAGGCCAGTTCTAAATTCATTGTCAAGTCAGTGGAGTGGAGGGCGAGCGGTCAACGGAGTTGAATAGGGCACGGGGCGTTGGTTATTCATTGACTCCGGGGTGTCCGGCAGCCCGCTGTTTCCTGTAAGCAGGTTTTCCAGCAGCGATTGAATTACAAATAGAAACTCTTGGAAGCCTCGTGAATTTTGAGCGGTACACTTACCGTGGCCGGTAGAGCGCGGCCTTCAACCCGAGCTCCTCGCCTTGTCGCCGGATGCATTGGAGGCAAGGTGCTGCAATGGCCCTTTGAAGGGGGATCCGACCAATAGGGAGTAGATCGGTATCTTTATGAGTTTGGCGACCACACATTATTCAAGCATCAGTTGTCTCTTTCTGGCCTGTTTTTAGACCGTAGACCACAAAAAAAAGTATTAAAAAATCCAAAATTTCGCTTTGTCAGCCAAAAAGCCCGATTTTCGACTCACATACATTTAAAATATTTAGAAATTTCTCGCTTCAAATATGGCTAGATTTGAATAAGGTTTCTGGTCATATAGCAAAATCTATGGCATCTCCCAAGCCCAAAATACTAAAGAGCTAGAGAGTTATGGTCCGCAATGCCGCACATTTCGTATTTTAATTCCAGGTCGCTGCCGTGAAGGCTCAGTCGCTTGTCAACCAGATGAAATGTGAACCTACATGCAGGGTCACAGCCGGCGCAGTCCGCGGCTTCCGTCGTCTCCAAAACAGCGTGCCTGAAACTGATCGTTTTTAGAAATGCCGGCGGAATGCCGAAAGCAGTTTGCTCTCTTAAAAACCTCAACAAAACAGACCTGAAGCGGTCCGCACACTTAAGGCACACGGCCGCCCCAAGTGCCGAAGTGAGGATGGTGTTTTTCTTCAGGCACCACACACAATCTCCGACGCTGCGTGTCGACGGCCGCCCGACAGTACGCCGGATCGGGGCGACCGGGTCCTACAATAGGCTGATTCTACGAGGTTTGACGCAGCTATTTAGGAGCTAGTTAAGTTTGATGGCCCCAAAGGCGTCAACAGAATTCTGCCGATCGGGCGCCCCTGATCGGCTTAAAAACCAGTATTCTGGGGTAGTTTGATGCGCTGAGTTCGAGTTTGACACTTTTAGACCACAAATATTTGATTTTAGACTACAAATTACAAAAAGTCGAAAATTTTTTGACGCCCTTGGGGCCATCAAACAACTAGCTCCTAAGTTTTTTGGAGTTGGTACTTTATTGTCGCATGAAATCAAGTTCCTATAGCCAAAAGTGGAAAACTTACTTCAGTGTACAAAACTACCACAGAAATGTGTATGGGCTGATCGGGCACCGCCTATCGGGAAAGATTTTTTTGCACCCTTAGGGTCACCCAACTTAGATAGCACCGAGTTTCATGTTGACTATTATCGCCAACGCCACGCCGTTTCGAAAATTGCCGAACAAGCAAAGCATTGGAACCTTGAAAAATCGTCAAACTTAGGTTTGATATTGCGTTCAAAGATCATAAGTGCCGCTTTCCACACTATTACTCAATTTATAACCCGCGTCGCGTCGATAGGGAGCGAAACGTTGCTGCCGCTTGATTGTGCTCTATTTCCTGAGCGTTAGCCCGTTTCTGAAAAGCTTTATTTTTTCGTACAATGTAATGTACAATGTAAGCCAGTAAAAAGGGTCAATGATTTGTAAGTCTTTTCAGTTATCGACCTCCGGACGGCGATCGCGTGCAGCCACTTCGGGCTCATCCGGGCCGACGAGAGCCGGGATTGGACTGTTCACTGCGGCGGTGACCGTATCATCATCTCCACGAACACCAGGATGATGGGCTGCAGGGGCAATCGGAAGAGCCCAACGAATAGCCCGGATAGGCTAAAACGAGCTTTGTTACATTAAAGTGACAAGTGGTGTCTACCGGGAGTTCGACCTCGGCGGGCAAACGTGAGGCGATGTCCTCCTCTGTTGTCCGGAGCTGGATGGCGCACTCGCCGAAAGCCGCAATGAAAAATCGTTGGTACTTCACGCGGGATTGGTCGCGGTCATTTCCCTAAACGCGGTCTCTTAGTGAAAACAACATGTTAACATTTTACCCAAGAATACAATTCCGCTTCAGCGGCGGAGAGCTCGGCCTGGGTGCGCGCGACCTCAGTCTGTAGAAACTCACGCCGCCCGTCGACGTAAAGATTTAGAGCCTGAAACGTCCCGGTATCGGCAATTTTCTTTTTTTTCAATTTTCGAGTTTTTCTGAACTTTTATGAATTGTTCTACCGCTTTCCGAGCGGCGAGCGTTGAGGGGGCACGGCTTGCTTCTTCGGCAGTATTAATCGCAGCTTCCAGCCTGCCATCCATTTCGGCTTGCTGGTCGATTATCGGGTAGTCGACTGGCTGTAAAACAAAGTAAAGTAAAGTACTTATTGAAGCGTACGTTCTCAGCATATACTATAGGTTTTTGATGGCCATATGATTTATACTATTTTCTTTGATTGAAATTTTTCTATTATAGAGAACAATGGTCGAAAAGAGAGGTGAACAATAAATTTTTCAATATTTTTGACAATCTGAAGTTGCGAATTAATAGAGCGGAGCAAGCTACTATGGTAATTGAGTTCAACCCAAAAAATAATTTCAAAGCTTTATAGTACAGGAAAAGCAGACTTAAAATTATTTTTATTGAATAAAACTTTGATTTCCCCGGTAACCCGAGGTGTCCGGTTTTCCTACCGCGAAACGGGGCGTTGGCAGCGGGCCTGCCCAACTCGGTTTCCGACGCTCCCAATATGTGAGCAGCGCCGCCTCGCGCTCCGCCGATCCACGATGCACTTGTCCGTAAGTTATGGCCGCCAGTATCTCCTGAAACGATGGGGATAGCGCCGGTGGAGGGGGAGCACATAAATTATTAAGCCCTTTTATCAAAAATTATAAGTCTTGAGGTGCCTAAAGGTCTCGTCGAGCCGAATGTATTCATGCCGTAGCAGATATTAGCGAATGTGATTCTTCCAAAATCTCGGCTATCTTTTTTGTGGCGTGAAATCCAGAGTTGAAGGACCGTGCAGCTATTTTTTTACCCCCTGGCCCGGTCGGGGACCCTTGAATCAAGCGCCAGAAATATAAAATGTACTTCAGTCAACATCCTCTGCTTGGCGTCGTCGGCGGCTCGGCGGGCCCGGGCGAGCCGACGAAGCAGTTCTTGAAAACTCGGTAGTAGAATTTGAGGTTCCTGCAAAAGAAATACAAATAATAGGATGGACAGTTACCGGTAACATAAGTCGGAAGCAGTCGATTAGTAGAATCAGTGGTGAAAAGCTCGTAATCGATTTCGTTTTATACCAGAAAACCTATGCTAATCGCGCAGAAGACGGAAATCCTACCCGATTCCTGCAGCTTGTGATGTTAAATCCGAAATTATGGAGATTGCCCCGTTTCCTCCGACCTATACAAGTACCACGCCCCGCTTTCTCAAATGCCCTTTGCGCTAATGACGCCTCATTCACGCCACACGCGATCTACTATCTAAAAATTGAGCTTGACGACTAAACGACACTTCCGAAACGCCTTTGAAGTTTACCAGCTCAGACATTGCTGTCGGCGTGGACTTCACCGCCGTGTATTACCGCTAGCG